TGCTACAATTTGAGGTAAAATTGCTAATGATGTAGACAAGGGGAAGCGAAAGTAGGTAATTTTCCAACTTCCCTGAAGCTCCCAGTTGGCTGCTTGGCAATTCTGGTTAGTACAGACCAAAAGATAAATATTTGTAAACATTTTTGTTCCGTTTTGCCATACATGTTCACCCAACCTATAAAAAATCACAAACTCCTAAAAGGACCTACCTCCTAAAGGAACCTCAGACATGCAGGTAATGCTGTTGACCCTTGCAACCATTCGCTAGGAGGATCTGAGACGCGCCCTCATCATGCGACCCTCTCCTGCAGAGACTGAGCATCCGGTTCCAGGTCGTGGTCGAGGGAGGCGACCTGTCTTGGCCTGACCACGGAGCCTCCCCCCAAGATATCGAGTCGCTCTCTCATGCCGCGGCGGACACCACCATCACCCACTTGTGGTTAGTTTTCTGTTCCCATACACGAGTACCTTTTTTCTCGGTAGCCACACCTGTCCCCCTAGACCTCAGGTCCCACTCCTGTGTCTCTGGTTCTCAGTACCCACACCTGTGCCCCTAGTTTTCAATGCCCACACCTGTCCCCTAGATCTCAGTACCCACATTTGTCCCTGGATCTCGGGCATAGACCTGTGCCCAATGTTTACACCTGCGTCCCTAGTCTCGTTGCCCATACCAATGCCTCTTGCTCTCAGCGTCCTTCTAATCTTGCTTTTTATAACTTCACTGATTTATTAACCTATATAAAGCCATTCACAAACACGTGCCATATAATGTAACAGAGCCTCCTGTATCCTTTATTTCAGCGTTTATGAGAGCTGCCTGGACGACGAGCGCGCAGAGTCCTTGCTGGCCGGCCTCAAGAAGCACCCCGCCTTGACCTGTGTTGACCTGCGACATAACACGATTTCTTGCATCTCGGCGCCCCACATCTGTGATGTCATTGACTCCACTTCCCTCACGGAACTCTATCTCCAGCATAACCAGATTGGTGAGCTCTATGAATACTTTACTCTAATGGAAATGCATATGACATTGTATACATCTATGGGTATGAGGCTTATGTATTAGGATCCATGGACACTCACTTATATATGTGGGCGTTTGCTTGAGCGTTTATGTATATACCGTGTGTGTGTGTGTGTGTGTGTGTGTGTGTGTGTGTGTGTGTGTGTGTGTGTGTGTGTGTGTGTGTGTGTGTGTGTGTGTGTGTGTGTGTGTGTTGTGTGTGTGTGTGCGTGTGCGCGTGTGCGTGCGTGCGCGTGCGTGGGTGGGTGCGCGTGCGTGTATGTGCGTTTGTAAATATACATAACCCACAGGGCCCAAGGGAGCGAAACTCCTCGGGAAGGCCCTGGCCAAGAGCCCTGCCCTCGAGACCCTTGTGCTGGACCTGAACCCTGTGGGCGGCGCGGGCGGCGCGGCAGTCCTCCGCGGCGCCGTGGAGGGAGGGAGGCTCAAGGTCCTGTCCCTCGCTGGCTGCCGCCTCACCGACGAGTGCTGGGGGCCGCTCGTGCAGGTCCTCACCAGCCTGCCCTGCTGCCGATACGTGTGTCTGGCCGCCAATCCCTTTAGCCAGGTACACGTATATATGCTAATTACATGCTACAAATACACGCATACATACATACATACATACATTACATACATCATACACAGACACACAGACACACACACACACACACACACACACACACACACACACACACACACACAACACATTTATATATATATAATATATATATATATATATATATATATATATATATATTATATTATATACATATATGGTATCCATATTTCCTGCAACATTTTGATGTGTGCCTTACTTTCATATGAAAATTATTTTTGATCAAACTTTCATTATTTTTTTATTACTATGCTGGATAATACACTACTACACACTATCATAAAGTGTTTTCTAAAGTCATTTTCTCTTTTAGATACAATTTATCATCTACTATTATGTTCTACTTACTACTTTCGAGTCATTACCAGTTTCAACCACTTCGATCTTAATTCCACCTGACTGAATTAATCCGACCTGCCTGCTTCTTCCAGAAACCGCCTCCTGATGTACTGTCAGCAGCCGAGGAAGCAACCTCTGGGGCCCGCGTTCTGCTGACAAACCTAGACGGAACAACCTACTTACTGGGCTACGTGCGAGGCGGTCGACGTCTGCCCTCCCCTCTGCAAATTCTTCATGACCAGATAGACCACCCCATTACTGTGGCTGCCTCACAAGAAGATATAGCTCACTACCTCCCTCTGCATGGCCTCAGCCTTGAGCCCTGGGACTTCACTATTGAAGAAGAGTTACATGGCATGTGCCTTTTTACTAAGAATTCTGCTAATATCTTATAAACTTAGGTATCATTATGCTGGTATTGTTTGTTGCATTAAATACATATATCATATATATACACACATGGATATTCAGAAAGGTAAAAAACAGGTTTCTTAAAGAATATAATTTTTTGTTAAAGTGATTTAAAACATATCTCGTGT